AGCAGATGGTAATGTCTTTACCCTGTCCCCTCAGTTATATCTGTTAGAGGTGTAGTCTTATCAGGAACAGTTGTTTAATTTACCTGAAAGATGTCTTGTGATAATTTAAAAATACGTATGTAGAAGGAACAAAGGTGGTTTGTTAGGTCATCTTTTTAATATCCCAGGATTATAAAAAGGTATGATATCTTTCTTGACTAAAAAGTCTGCACTTAACTCTTCAACGAGTTGTCATTTTGACCTGCCCTTGTCTTTTGAAATCGTGCAGTGTTTTCAAATTCATTAGTAGTCACTGTGCATAGGAGGTTGCTTTCTGAGTCATGAGCAGTATGCTTACAGCCAAAAAGCACTACCCGGTTGAGAAGGATGTCAGTCACCTGTGACCAGACTACAGACAGCAAATGCTTTTCGCTTCTTGCAGGTGGCGTAGGGATGATGTGCTCACTGAGCGAACAAGGCAAACAGTTGGCGGTCCAAGTGTCGAACATCCTGGGGATGGACGTATGTGGCATTGACCTGCTGATGAAGGACGACGGTTCATTCTACGTCTGCGAGGCCAATGCAAATGTAGGTTTCATTGCCTTTGACAAGGCTTGTAATCTAGATGTAGCTGGTATCATAGCGGACTATGCCGCTTCTCTCCTTACCCCCGGCCGCTTGACGCGGCGTATGTCCTTGCTCTCTGTGGTGTCCACGGCAAGCGAGACTAGCGAGCCAGAGCTGGGCCCTCCAGCTAGTGCCGCTGTCGACAATATGAGTGCTAGCTCCAGCTCTGTCGACAGTGACCCTGAGACCACGGAGAGAGAGTTGCTCACCAAGCTCCCGGGGGCTCTGTTCAACATGAACCAGCTATTAGCCAATGAGATCAAACTTCTTGTGGAGTGATGCCACATGTAAATAGCTGACCAACAGAACTCTCTCTTGTACATTTTATTTTTAAACCAACTTGCAATGCTGTTTATCAGAGAAGCTCAGAGGAGTGAGGAAAGGAGAGGGGGGTGTCAAGCAAGAGAGCAAGAGTAAAAGGCACGTGTGTTGTGCTTGCTGCCTCCACTGTTTTGCAGAACATAAAATTTTGTTCATTGTTCAGTATTAGTTTTCTAGTGAAGATGCTCAGTTCACAACTTAAGTGGGAATTTTATTTGGATGCTGCTTTGGTCCCAGACGTATTCACAGGCAAACATTGGAAGCATGATTCACACTTAAAGATTTTCAGAAAGCTGTCTGGCAGCTCTCTAGAAACTTCTGTGAATTCTTGCACCAGTCAAGTCTCTTCTGCCTTTGCAAGGCTTGATCCTGTAAGTGGCCAAGTGCCTCAGATTCTCTATTTGAGTTGAAGGTGTCAAATACCAGGTATTTCAAAGTCCCTGGACACCTCCTGTTCCTACTTTAGTAGATGGGAGCTGTAAGTTCAGGATCCTTTGAAAATTGTCACTTTGTGACCTTGCAGGATTTGGCCTTTCAGATGATGAGGCTGAGAGAAGCGTCAGCTGACTTTAATGTGAGCTTTCTGTAGAAATTTGTAATTTGTACCTTTCTTGGTATTAATTGGCAGCTTTGTGTCTATATTTCTTTATAAAGTTTTCCAAGACAGATTCTATTTTTTTTTTTTTTGTCATTTCAAATCCTGATTTTGGAGGGTATGTAGGAGAATTGGTCATACTCTAGTTGCGGCGCAAGTGGCACGTTTTAACTATCTTTGCATGATTGGAGGAGATAAACAGCACTGTAATGTTTGGTATACAAAATGATGTCTAATCCAATGTGAAAAAGAATTACGCTAGTTTAAAGCAAACGTGCATCGACTTGTATTTGTTAGTGTTTTAGTCTTTTGGAGAGAGATCTGCAATGTTACTGTTCCGTTTTCTTTAATACATGCTAGTCCAACACTCCCTTCTCTATGCCTGCATCTTTAACAGTGGCCAAAGTAAAAACACTGCAGACTATTTGTTAAGAAAACACTGAGAGGGGGGAACATGGTAAGGTGTGGAGGAGGTAAAAGGTGGTTAAAAGTGATAGACATCTTGAGGTACTTTAGAATAAAGCTGCAGTTCATACAGTACTTAACCAGGCTTGCTTTTTCCCCACTGAACATAAAAGCTGATGTTGGCAGAAATCCAAAGAGTATAACTGGGGAGAAATACCCAATTCTTTAGCTTTGGGAAATGTGCAGCAGGTTTAAAAACTAAAAAGTGAAAAAAAGTATATAAAAAAATTATAAAAAAAATTGCTCAGCCAGAATTTAAAAAAAAAAATAAAAATATAACCTAGGTCCACAAATTGATCCTGAGCCCTTCCATGTGTGGTGTGAGTACACACACTTCTGTGTGTTTGTGTGTGTGCATTTGCTTTGCTTTTTCTTTTTTGGCTTCTCTTTTCTTTCGGGTTTTGGCTGTTTAGCTCCTAGTTTTTTTCCAGGCTGCCTGATTTTCCTTAGTCCTTCTGGCTGTGCATTTTCTCCTTAGCCTTGAGCTGTTTTGGAAAACAGATAACCAAAACAGATACTGAGTCCATTTTCAATCCCTATCTTCCTCCTTTTCCTCTTTTTCCTCCTCCCTTTTCATTCCTTTCTCATTCTCTGGGTTCATAAAGGCCTGGAACTATAGATATATATATATAAAAAATAAGCCTCTTTTTAAGAAAAACAAAAAACAAAAAGAAAGAAAAAAAAAGGTAAAATGTTTACAATTGAAGAATAATCTTGTGAAAATAGGGTTGGTTTGGAGGGGGGTTGTGTGTGTGCAATGCTGCTATTTTCTGGATACTTTAATGGAGCATGTCCCATGTACCCTCTGAGGCTCTGCACTGACCACCTCTGTGGCCCTTCCTCACCTCTCTGCTGCTCTGCTGTTTTATCTTCACTTGGACCTTAAACACTATTCACGGACACTATGCAGAGAGTCTTCAAGAGGCAATAAACAGAACAGTATTAACCTGCTTTATGGAGGTTTGATCATGCTTCTTTGTACAGTTTGGTTTGTTATTTTTTTAATTTTATTTTAAAAGGAATGTAATAAAATGGCTTTTTTTTTTGTAGAATTAAATATTATTATTAAAATCAAGTGAAAGGTTGACTGTTGGTGTTAAGCAGGAGAATGGACCAGGTGGTCCAGCACCAAAAGGAGCTTCAGCAGTAAAGGTATTATAAAATCTTCCCGAGCCTTCAAGCACACAAGTTATACCTGCAGAGTGTAAAGGTCTCTTGACTTCCATGAAGAGTTGCAGAACCACAAAACATGAGAGAAATAGAATTTTCTAGTCACTGAGCACTAAAGTGTCTCTTCCAGAGGCTCTTCTACCTTTGCTTGTTTATCTAAGGAGAATTTGGGTGGTGGTGTGGTGTTGGGAGTTTTTGGTTATGTTTGTTTTTTTTTTTTTTTTCCATTTGTTTTGTGTTTTTTTTCGGTTTATGTATAGGTGACTGCACTCCTCGCAAGGCTGATAGGGTCAGTCCTTTTCAGCTGTGGCATGCATTGAGCATGTGTGTAGTAACAGCAGTGAGTAAACACATACTAGTTGGTATAGTGGAACCTCTATTTCTGTCACAGGAAACTTCTTTTAGAGGAAAGACCTCGTAACTGAACATTCTGGACTATTTTTTGACTCTCCATAGTATTTTGTGGCTCACAGGAACTTTACATTTCTGTCAGCCTTTCAGAATGTCCAGGTTACACCTCCCACTAGTAAAATTTGTGAAGTAAACACTAGTTTTTTTTGAAAGACAAACATGGACTGGGAGATTTCCAGTTTGGCTCCCTTGGGATAAGGTGCTCCTCTGTGTTTGGTGCTTCCATTGCTAGTTTGGATATAAGTCCATATACAGTGGTCAGGGAGGGAGACAGGATTTGAAACATGTATATTTGTTTGGACATTGGGTATTGATAATACATCAAAACCTTGCTTGAGGGTTCATTGGTACAAAGGAACACACTCGTCTCATGTGTTCACTCCCTACTTACCCATTGCTCCTGTAACAGTGAAATGTATCGAGTGGGCTGAGGGTGAGAGTGGGGTGCCTCGTTTTTACTTAAAGGAAGAAAAAACCCGCCAGCAAATCTAGCTTGTGGTAATTGCACAGTGTTTCCCAGTGAAGGTGAAGTTTATGGATGTGAGTTTTATACCCTGTATTTCCTTCAGTTCCATATGCTGAAAAACACCTGCTAAGTTTTCATACAGTTGCAGTAACACTACCTCCATATGTGGGTTTAGAAAGCACGTGTTGGAGAAGTGGTCAACGTAGTGCTGGATTGCAGTAGTGCTAATGCAGCTGATGGCGATCCTACTGGTTTTGTGTGTTTTAATGTTGGAAAGAGCCAGTTAGAAACTCTTTGTTTGCAAGAATTAAGTTTCTTAAAATACATCTGATGAATTTTTGTTCTTTGTAACACTGGAGACTTTCTTCTGTTGAAGTTACAGTGTTTATAATTGCTGTCTTGCTCTGTCAATGTACGGATTGTATCTTAAACCTTGTATTTAATGCTTTAATGTGTTCTGTAAAATCTTCTCTTGAAATGTCAACACCTTGTCCATGACACAGTGTCAATGCTTGATGCATATGTAGACTGTTAATGTTTTTGGTTTGACCTGATGATTGCTCTTGGAGCATTTTCTCCCACTTGGTGTGCTATCTTTTGTGTGTGGTACTTACTCAGGAAATAACCTCTGGAACATCTGTGTATGCCAGACGCAAAGGAGATACTTCTTCAGATGTTATGCTGGACTTCAAAACACAACAAATGAAACCAGTGACGTTTGCTAAATCTTTTCTCCCCATTGTTGCAAATATCTGTCAGTTAAATATATAAGGGACCTTAAGGGCTTAGAGAGACTTTGAAAACAAATTGTATGTACAGGATCTTTCTCATGGCTCACTCTTTTTGAGAAGGTTTATGGGCTTTATGGCTGGTGTGAGACACACGACCCACTCCTGTTCTCTCTATGGAATAGTAGGTGCTCGGCCAGGTAACTTCTGTTGCTACTGTCTTTATTTTTTTTAATTTTTTTTCCCATTTTTGTTTTTTTTTCACTGATCTAGGAATTGCTTTAACTGAACACTGCAGGATTTATAACCTGATGTTTGCTGCCTTTTCCTTTGTTTTATTTCTTTAAGTCTTTCTTAACCTTTGAGAGTAACTTCTGGAGCATTCTGATGGTGGATCTTGGTCTGCTGTTGGAAGCCTCCAGGCTTCTCATATATCCAGTCTGAGTTGAAAAGTTTTTGTTTTGTTTGTTTGCTTAAACTGATGACACAAACTAGATGCACGGACTTTGGGTGAGATTCGCTGTTGCTCTGCTTTGTGTGACTTATTCTCCTTTTTTTTTACAGAAATGTGTTCTAACAGTTCACACTTTGTTACTGTTCTTTGCAAAACTTTTCAGGAGCCAAAAAAAGTCAAACAATCCAGAGAAAACCTTCCCTTCTCCCCTTTCTGATGGCGAGAGTGAGAACTCATGAAAAGTCCTTGAGAATGTTCCTTCCTAAACTTTTCCCCCCAGTAATGCAAGCGGGTAAAATGGTAAATGCAGCAGTTTGGTGACATCCAAACCCCACCTGTTGTCAGGTAAATTGGCTCTTTTCTGCTCTTACGTAACCTTCGTAAGTTTAACTTGTCTACCTTCCTTTCATCCCATCAGTTCATTTTGGTGAAACTTCTTGAATGATTTCTTTAACAGTGATATTTAGAGAGAATTCTACATTTCTGCTTTATTTCCTGTCCTTAAACATGTTGATCTTTAAGAAAACTGCCATTGTCCTTTGCTTTACTCAGGTGAAACAAAAGTGAGTCCCCTCATATAAGTAAGTATATGTGCAGGATGGTTTTGTAATATGTTCATTCCGCCTCTTCTTTATCAATTCCAGGGTAGTTTGCCTCCAAGTGTACTATTTTAGCTTAGGTTTTTGAAAGATGGGATGATTTCCATTTGGCAAGTGAATGTAAAATACAAGTGCATCAATTAGGAGTTGATAGGTGTGAAGAAATAGTACTAAGAACATTTACTCTATTAAAATTCAACAGAGCAGGAACCTATGAGGAGGACAGATGGGAGAACACGTGTGCCAAAGAAAGATGGTAGGGCTGATTATTTCTCTTTGTGTAGGATGGAGTGACACATTCTGTGTTGCCCTTACTGCTCTATCCAAGTACTTGTACATTTTATCCTATTCTGGCAACTCGCTCCCTTAATCTCAAATTACTTAAAAGTGCTGGGAACTTAATACTTTTTTACTTTGTTTAAGGAGGAGAATCTGTATTTTACTTGGCGGTAAATATCAGACAGTTGGAATACCAAGTGGAAGAATATGAGCCGATACTCAGGCTTCCAAGTTTCCTGATGCAGTATTTTATTTCCCATGACATCTGTAAAGAATTAGCACTTGTTTCAGATTTTTTTGTCTGTGTACATTAAGAACTCTTCTGTATCATAATAGTCTGCTTTTCATATTCTCAATTTATATTATCCTGAAACACAGAAAGGTTTATCAGCAATACCATAAATTGCAGCTTCAAATTGAAGTGGAAGGAAATAATTTTAGAGCCAAATTTTGCTCTCGGTTACACTAGATAGTCCTGGAATTGAATTGCTCTGGGAAATCAATTCCCAGGAGTGCTGTCCAATTGCACTGGTATAATTGGGTGCATAATTTGTGTCTTTAATTTTACTTGCGAGATGATTTTACAGACCTGTTTTACTTATGTTTCCAATGCTTTTTCCTTTCAGACACACCCACTTCTTGCGTCTCAGCACTGGGCAGGCCTATTCCTTTATTTGTGTATATTTTTGTGCAACAGCTGCTATAGGACACGGGTGTAACACTTTCAGGCATGTGTTGGGTGTCTTTGGGGAAGAGATTTGTGGGTTTGTAACAATGTCTAAAAAACCAGAATTTCTTTTCCTCAGATTTGTGAACAAATTGATGTTAGCTCACAGTTTTGCATCTCTTAACCTGATTTCATATATGTTACGCGAAGGTTTGTTCTTGAAAGACAGACAGTGCTAGTTCTTTGCAGTGTCTTCACACGATCTTTGGTGGGGAGAGTTGATAAAAATTTCATTCTGCAGAAGTTACTAACTTAATATTTAATGTTGGTTGAAAGGTAGTTTTACAGATGGTACTCTTTCCTCTTTATGTAGTGGCTTTCAAAGCCTTGTGTTGATCTTGGTTGTGCCCAGTGCTTTGCCTAGTGTATGGGGGAAATGTTGCAGAACTTGAATAAGCCGTGACATCTTAGATGGTGTAGATGATGATTATGTGCATGCTGAACAAGAACTTCTTCTATATGCCCTTCTGCTGCAACAGAGTAATAAAACTGGTAGGTGGCAGCAGCAGCAGAAGAAACTCATGTGACTGACCTGAGAAACCTCCAGTACTGGGAGAAATGGATTGCAAAATGCTAACTCAACTAAGGGGGACGGAAGAGAAAGGCAGAGTCCCTGAACTGCCCCTTTGAATGGTGAGTCTAATTTCAAGAATTCTCATGATCAAAAGACTAGCTGTAATACAATATACATGTTAATCTGTCTGAGTTGGTGTTTGGTTACCTGATGTCCTAATTCTGATCTTTGATTCAAAGATTCAATTCCGGTTTCCCCACTGCCTCTATAAGGCATAGTATATGCCTTGAAAAAATAAGATTCACAAAAATGGCCACATTTAAAGGAGTACTGGAAAATAAGGCTGGAAGGAATTTATCTAATCCATCCATTTCTCTGTCTCACAGAAAGATCAGTCATAGTTACGCCGTCGGTCACATGTTTGTTTTAACATGATTTAAAAACCAGGGGATAAATGAGGAAGATCATGAAGTCTTTACCTGTGCAATTTCGTTTTATGCAGCTAAAAAGCATCCTTGCTGTCAGCCAGTGGTCAGCCTCATAGGCTGAGAGCCCATCTGCTTTTTTTGCTGCTTTCTTTTTTGCCTCTCTGCTGTGTAATGCTACTTTTTGGGTGGTTCTCTTATATACTTCTCATATTGAGTGTTTCACCACAGTGCTACTTAGTTATAACTGAAATTACATGTCTGTATATATAAATTTACGTTTCACATCAAAATTTGGTTCCTTCAGGTCTAAAGCCTCGTACCCCATTGGCTGTGAAGAACTTCTGTCCTGGTATTGTCAGTATGCATTATTTTTGTGCAAGGAGCATAGTTTACAAATGCATGTAATAAGCATTTGTAAGCATAATAAGCAAGCAGCTGCATGGTGTAATGACAGTTTAAGAACTGAGTATTTTCATGTGATACATGGTGGTTACTTTATATTTAGAGACAACCACAGGGGATTCACCTGTAACACATAAATAGGTTTTACATCATGTCTAACTTGTATCCTTAAATCATTGTTAACTTTGTTGGGTAGGGAGCAAGTAACCTACTCAAGTACGTCCAAATCAGTTTTTCAAAATTCTGTTACAAAGTTTCCTATATATAAAAAGCCTCTTTGAGGAGACTTTCCCCCCTATTTTTTTAACTGGTTAGTTTAACTAGTCATACCAGTAAATCTGAACTGGTAAGTACAGGAGATAAATTTATTCTCAGGTTTGCACCAGTCATTAGCTCATTACAATATAATGAAAATGATTTAAGGACTTAGTCATTGAGATGCTCAAATATCTTTGCAGAAAACTTAAGAAAAAGTTGTTTCCACATAATGTCTAGAGATTTTTCTGTAATGAGAAAATCAGATACTGATATAGAAACAAAGTGCAGAATTTTCTCAGACAACAAAATGCTGTCACTTCCAACCTGAAAATGTTAAGTGAAAGCTCTAAACCAGGAAAAGCCAAACAGCAGATTAGTTATTCTCTTCTGTGAATCTTATGTGGATATTAATTACTGTATAATGGTATTTATAGAGCACCATATAGATTAAATCATAGATGGCTTAGAAACACCGTGATGGTAAAGGACAGTGTTCTCTATAGTGACATGATTTAGTGGTGGATTTAGCAGTGCTCGGTTAATGCTTGGACTTGATGATCTTAGAGGTCTTTTCCAAGTGAGCTGATTCTATGATTTATGTATCTCAAGATAGAAAAAATGCTCAAAGCACCAACAGTTACAATTCTCTTTTGAAAGTGGGAAATGTAAATTCTATGTTTCTGAGTTAGTAGTTTTAACCACCTCTTCAATTATCTAGACCAGTTGTCTGTAAAAGATCCATATCAGTAAAAAGCATTTGAAGCATGCACCCTGATACATGTCTATTTATAAGCTATACACATGTACTGCTGTGTACATTATAAAATATACACAAGCCCAGAAATCAAAGCAGGATGAGGTAAAGATGATATGAACACTATTTAAACATTTATTTTGTTGTATTTGATGCAAAAAATACTTTCTTCTTGCAGCCTCATGTATTGCCTTGCATCCTGCCCCAGGGAAAGTGCCCTCTACTTTTGAGACCACTGAGCTAGACCTCATCAAAGAATTAGTAGTCACATTGAAATCAGGAACGACTCCTAGGTATGGGAACTAAGCTGGGTCTGAGTTACTGATATCCAGGCAGCTAGTCTCCAGTGCACATCAGATGAATACAAGACTATGAACAGCTGGTGTACTTTTCTCAATAGCTTCTCACTTCTCATACAGCCTCCAAAAGTATGTGGAACAGAGGCTGGAAGTCCCAGAGCTGAGTTCCTGCAAAGTGAATGGAATCAAATGTGCAAAATGAAAAAAAGTATTTTGGATGGAGATTTGAAAGGAGTCTTGTTAAATATAATGATGAGCAAAGTCTGTGTGTGAGATGAAGCTCATAGAGAAAGGTTTTTAAATCCAGTCAGACTGGAGATGTGTGAGAAAGTGAATTCTGGTGGTAGAGGCAGGGGAGTCTGAAGCATATGTTGGTCTGTCAGGAGAGATGAAGATGAGGCAATAAACTAGCTTTTGCTGATCTTGAGTGTTCGCAGCTTTTTGTTGCAAGGAGGAATCTCACCAGACTTTCTGTACATAATATATGCTAGGCTTTGGGGACTGGTTATCAAGAAGGAGATCTAAAAGCTGATACAGAACTGTTGATCTGGAAACTAACCATAGCACTTGCTGAATAGAGTGGTTATTCATGCGGATTAAAAATGTTACTGCACTGAATTTAGATGACAGCAAAACTTGGGAAGAAGGGTGGTCATCTGGCCCTGAACATGGGTTTATTTGTCCAGATATACCTGTAGCTTTTGCTTCTCAGCGTAGTAAAGAATAGAGCTATACAAATATGTGTAAGCCTTTTTAATGAGCAAGGGGACCATTTTAGTGACTTAGTCATCTGTTAAGAAAAGATATTTTGGGTGTACAACAAGCAGGAATTTATAGTACTGTTCCAGATCCTTCATGTTTTCACATGGCTGTCAATGCAAAAGGGTATTCTATTTCCTAATAGATGTGACATAGCAAAGCATCCTGTTTTCTTCTGTGGCAGAGATTTGAAGAAAGCAGAATATTTTCCATTCTTGCCACAGACTTTTACAGGCAGGCAAAGGGTATTATGTATGTGAAAGGAGGAATGGATAGTGGATAGGTTCCTCATGCCATCTGAAAAGGGAGTTACGGATTAGGCTGATAGAAAAGTTAACAATCACACTGTACGTAGGCAAGGCATCTTCACGGTATTTCTGCATCCCTTTTTTGTTCCATGGAGAAACACTGCAAGTGTTACTAGAATATACAGAGTCTGCATAGTGGTATGTCAGTGTATTAAAGCTCTGCCAAGTGTGCGTGGGGGAAGGGCTCATAAAAGATTTATGTGAATTTCTGTATGCTTTTTTTTATTTGGAGGCGATTTGCCATGTGCAACTGCAGATAGTACTCTGTCTTAGTGTAATAGAGGGGTTCTTTTGTTTGGGAGGAGGAAAACGTGTTTGGGGAGTTAAATATGTCGTTCTGTTGTCCATTTCTATAGGAAGCAGAATGGTTAAGGGAAAGCAGTCAAAATGAGTAAGAACTACACAGCTAGTTGTAGTCTGGTGTCAGTTGAATACTCATTGATGTTGCTGGGGAGAAGGCTTTTTGGTCTGTCTTGAAGTTAAAGGAGACGCTGAGACAGCCGAGAAAGGACTTTGAAAGTGTTTCAGACAGTGAATTGTGTCTTTTGTTGCCTTTTCTTTGCTTTCAGAACTCTTTGATGTGCTTCTGTAGATGTATCTTATTAAAAAAGTGTAGGCTGCTGAAATGTCTCTGGTGCATAGGGCTGAGGTGGGTCAAACAGGGGTGTGGGATGCTCTTTAACCAAGAATAATCAGCTGTGCTGATCTCGGCCTTGATCAGATGAGGACAGAGGGTTGTAGTCAAGCACAGGTTTTGCTGGACTGCATTTTTTGCAATATATGCAGTAGTAACAGAAGTCTTTGTCAGTAGTAACCTGTATGGCTGCCACTCGAAAGTGCAGTTGCTTTTGATCAATGATGAATCTTTAAATTTCCCTTATCATGTAATGCTTTTCATTTTCCTGACTACAGGTTTTCCGTTATGTTAATCTGTGGTTTATTGTAGTATATTTACAGTTTACCATATCAGGACTGAATTTCTATCGTAGAGAAATTGCACTGTAATTGAGGTGTGGAGAGGAAACGAAGTTTTATTAGAGGTCATTTGATTACAATACCTTATTGGAAAAAAAAAATCAGAAAAAAATAACTTGTCACATTCATAATTTTTCAAGGACATACGTTAATATCTAGGATTTAGTGGGATGATACCTCCTGTACAAAATAGAGAGGGAGGAAAAAAAAATCTGTATTATATTAGCCAGTAACTCAGTTGTTGCTATCTCTTTGGCCAGTTACACATTTTTTCTAAGCAGATTTCCTGTTTATTGTGGAAGCAGCAATACTACTGACCTCTTGATGCTTAGTTTATCTGTGTCATAAAATACTTTAGTTTTGGGGGGAAAGGAACTGGAGAGATATGGAGGAAAACTGTATACAGTGCTACGTGGACTAAACAGGAAGGTGCTGCGAAGCAGAGAGAGAAGACAAAGCAGTAGCTGTATACACAGGTATCTTACAGTTCTGTCTTACCAGTCTAATGGGAGGCCAGTAGTCAGAGTGGCTGTTACAGTTATACCATGATGAGAAATGGGGATGCCACATTGACTGTTTGTGCAACTGCAAATAATTCATGTCTTGTGTTTACAAGAAGTATGGTTATCCCAAGGGCATGTGTGTAGTTTCTTTTCCTCACTACTACTCTGCAAAGCACCATCTGCTAGTGTTTATTCTCTGGATTCTGTCTGTTCAGTGGTATTGTGTATTAAGACTAAAAATTGTATAGTGTTTTGTGAGTGTCAGAAGGAAACTTGTTATGCTTCTCATATTTATATGTTTTCTCATCCACCTAACAAACACAAGGCCAACTGAAACAACACAAATGTTACGGTTATTCTCCCCTTCCATCTTTACAACAGCATATGGGAGGAGTAGTGCAAATGTAATGTGATTGGGCTTGTCCATGCCCAAATGGAAATGTTTGTTTACCGAATGGCAAATACTGAAGCTTTACCAGTGGGAGAATTAGGCAGAAAGAGACTGCAGTTTGACTTTGCTAAACTTTTACACAATTTTTCCTCCACATGAAATATTTCCACAGGAATTTAATGCTTGAGAAAGATGCTGGACCAACAGTTGCAGAGATTGAACTCCTCTACCCACAGGAAAGGTAACAGGAACTAGAATTTATCTTTAGAACAGTCTTCACTGCATTTCTCTCTTTGACCTGGAAAGGCCTTTTCCAAAGTCAGGAGTTTGATACCCATGGCTCAGTCCTTGGTGCATGTGTAATGTTATCCAGGAAAATAGGTGCTAGTTAGAGATCTTTTTCTAATGATGTCTGCTCGAATTTCTGATATTACTGTTTTGTGAAAAAAGACTTAACTTCTTCAATGATTTGTTTCTCTAGGTTTTTCTACACCACAGGAGATCTTCTCTTCTCTTGTACGGGGACACTTGCCTCTTGATATAACACCCCCTTCACAATGAAGTGAAGAAAGGATAGACCAGCGGCAGTGTCGAATGGGGTGATGTCCACACTTGGGGTTAATAGTCGTAATAAACACTGTCCTCCTAACATGGAGAAATGAATAAAACAATTTAATTCTTAATTCTTGAGAGTGTGAGGTTCATTTTGGTATCTTCTGTGCCAATTCCCCTTTCTTGAAGTGCTGGTTAACTTCAGAAATCTGTTGATCTTGTATCAAAGCTGCAGCTAAGCCAGAAAAGTAAAACCTGTTAAATATTCTTTATCATACTAGGCTTCCCCCCCCCCCCCCCATTCCTAGGAGTTCTAAAATGCTTTCTATTGACATGAATAATTTTCCCAGGTGCCTTGGAGCCTCAACATCAGGTCTTTGGTTTTTACCAGTTCTGAGTTCACCTAACTCACTGAAAGCAAGTCTCCTGAGTTGTAAAAAAAAAAAAAAAAAAAAAAGGAAAATCATACTATACTGATCATGCCATACTGATAGCTTTGGAAATTGCTAGAGAGAAACAGAACTGCAGTTCTCAACATATCAGAGATTCATTAAACTATCAGATAATGGTGAGGCACTGGCACAGGTTGCCCAAAGAAGTGGTGTTCAAGGCCAGGCTGGACAGAGTCTTGGGCAACATGGTTTAATGTTAGGGGTCCCTGCCCATGGCAGGGGGGTTGGAACTAGATGATCTTAAGGTCCTTTCCAGACCTAACTGTTCAATGATTCTGTGATGTGCTTTTGGATTTCGAGGCCACAGTGGCAGGGTTTTGTTACAGACATGGTCATGTAAATTCTTACTATATGTTGTTTATGAAGAAAGCTCATGTTTAAAACCATAGGTTATGGATCTTTTGCGTATCTCTTTTTTGTTGTTAGTTGAAACACCATAAAGAGTTAGACATACACTGATGTGCTTACTTGAAATTTGCATTACAAAAAGCAAAAAGGGAAGCAAGATACTGAGTTAGTATGTTATCAGTAAACCCCTCTTATTCTTAACACAGTAGAATGTTCAGTTTCTTTGTAGTTTTTTCCTTCTGTCCTTGAAATCCTGGCTAAATCTTTCAGAGGGCTGTGATAATGTGTGTTATAAAGCCAAAGAATTGGTGAAATTGAAGTGGAGAATGGAGAGTCAATTGTAAAACCTTAAGCTACTTGGTAATTGCAAGAGGGAGCATAAGGAGATAGAAGGGTATTACGCCCTTGGACTTTCAATCTTGACGTATTTTAAATTTTATGATACCAGGGTGAAAGCACAGTTTGCGTAAAAGTAGTATAACACACTTTGTGCAGGAAGTGCCCTTGGATAGAAGACAAATGTAGGAATTGGTTTCAAGGTGCTCTTTAGACCAAGATTTTAGCAAGAGTGAGGCAATTGTTTTATTTTTATAAGCACTTACGTGACTATTGTTGACATGATGCCCGAACCACCAGTGTATTGTATCAATGGGAAAGACAAACAATTTAATAGTCTAATATTTCTAGAGAGGTGTCAAAAAGGGAGAGAGAGATTGTGGAAGGTGGAGCTAAGACATCTCCTATCAAGCTGTAAGCAGTTCTGATAGCTCAGATATGAAATGGAATTCTTCGCACAGAGGCTTGTCTTCTAGAGCAGTAGGTTCTCCATTCTCTAATAATCACGATGAACAGTACAGGAACTTGTTCTCTGAAGCCTGTTGAAAAGTGAGGGCTGCAACTGGTGAAGATTCCATATGGCGGTACGGATATTTTTGGTCCTGTTTTCTGTGTGCTTGTGTAGTTCTTTTACATGTCAGTGGAAACTGGCTCCGGTAGGAGCAGTTCGTTTTGCAAATATGTGTGCCAGACCATGTCTCTGGTAGCACTGTGGTGTCTGTGTAAGCAGGTAAAACATTGCCTCTGCAGTCTTGTGGCCATTTTGTCTCTTGTGGCTCAGTACTTACGAGTATACTTAATGCATATGCTCATGCTTGCACAAGTGCTTTTCTGTCACTTTCCTTAATATTTAATGTTTAAATTTAATTACTATCCTTAATATTTCCTTAATATTTAATGTTAATATATTTCCTTAATATTTGATAGAGTGGCTGAGAACCATCTAAAAGGCTTCTTAGTTTCATATATCCCATCTTGCTAAGCTAGTTCTTGTCCCCCTTTATATGTTCTCTTTTATGGATATTCAGCAATGCGGTCCCTGTTCTACTGCCTGAAGTTCACAGATTTTTCTCCTCCTGCCTTCATAGTCCAGAATGCCTTCCCACCCTCCCTTTTTTTTATCCCTTTCAAATGCTCCTGCCTGCTTGTCATAGCAAAAAACCTGCTGTTATTTCTGCTCTTAACCACTGCTCGTGCTTGTTCTTATCCTTATCCCAGGCACACATATAGTAGCTTAACAGTATTTCTTTTTCAGTGTCTGTTATAGATAATTGTTCTTTGATGTTTGTGTGTATTTCTCTAAAAGTGTGACTTGCTTTTTTAGGGGGAGAAAGGTTTTGTTACTATGCAGTTTCTTTTTGTATTTCACAGCCCCAAACATGTAGAAGTTAAACAGAAATTAAAAGAAGTTAATGAAAATAGAGGTGTCTGGTTTTACTGTACTGTCTCAGTGCGTGAGACTCAGCAAACTGCAGTTCTGAGAAGATCAGTAGGTCCCTGGCTGTTGCATTCATATAGCTATCTTTGATGAAGGGATTGGTCTCCTTGAAATTTATTTCTCATGTACCTCACTTAAAAGCTCCAATTCAAGAGCCATGGTCAAGAAGGTATTAGTAACATTCCTTTTTCTTTGCTACTTTAAGTTTTGTCATTTGAATATGATTACCAAGTATAAATAATTAAATAGTAATTGGATATTCATCATGAAATATTTTGATCTTCTTGTTTGTACAGTACCAGGGAGACAGAACTAAAGGTCTGTAGTGATAAATCCGACCTGTGCTGTGATGGTTGGGGAAGCCTGAGATAAATAGTTCTTTTTGCATTTCTGCATTTTTCTCTCAATTAGAATTGTGCTTTTGCGCTGGCTACAGAACTAGATTACTTAACACACTCTGCTTTGCTTAGTATAATGAGATCTTGGGGTGGAGTTTATTTGTACTGAGGCCAAACTGAAAGAGAAAGAGGTGATAATTTTGCTTAGTATAAGATCTGGAAAACCTCTGCAACTTGGCTGGCCTGCATTCCCAGTTGTGCATGAAGTAAGCAGACAGCTGGGTTTTGACCACTATCTTTGTATTTTTCTGGGTCACTTTCCTTATTCTTTACATTACCATCTTGGCTGCTTCTCCAACCTGCTCTTTCTCTGCCTGAAAACATGGTTTATCACTGTACATTTACCTCTAGATGGTCTGCAAAATCTAGGCATCAGATTGGAAGTAGACATCACATCATCTTCTCTGTGACTCCTATGTTGTCATCACTTCAGCATTTTTCCAGCATATTACTTTGGAGAGCTTCCTCTGCTGAGATGGTAACGTTGAGAGGGGAGAGCATGCAGTGCAATGACAAAGTCACCTCAAAAGCCTTAAGAATGGAATCCATGGGAGAAAGGCTGTGCTTCTCTCCCCCCCCCCCCCCCCCAGTTTTGCTGCTGCTGCACAGGCTAATAAGCAAAGCATTAGTTTAACTGCACTAATCTAAGCCCTACATTGTTTATTGACTAATGCACTTTATCTTGGACATTGGCATGCTTCAGTGGTTGGGATAAACAGCACTTGTCCTTGCCAGCTGGTGAAATCAGTGGTTGCTGTGTAAGTACTGCTGAGTTGCTGAGTTCTTTCTTTCTTTCTTTGCAAATGCCTGGTACAGAGATTTAGACAAGTTCCTTGGTCTCCTGCATGTTTGCTCTGATCCACTGTGGATCTACTATCCCAGTTTATGAAAGAGAGATGAGTAAATAATACTGGGATCCAAAATCATGTGAAACGCACTAGAAAGAGTTTCTGTCAGAGATGGAGTTCCAATTGTTCCATATTTTACTTCAGCCTGAAAAATAAAATTCTTTTTTATTTTTAAAATTAAAAAAATAAATTTTTTTTGACAGCGCTTCTGAAGATTTCTAATGAAGGAGAAAATCCTCCTCCTAGTTCTACCTGTCTTTAGCTTCCTAGAGAAAGCATACAGCTGCTGTCAGAGCTGTATGCTTGGTGATAATTGCTGCTTGCTTACTCCCTACAGCCCTTAAGATCTGGGATGAAGAGATACAGAAGAATACAGAGATGAGTTTCCAAGAGAAAGGAGTAGGATGCTGCTTTCTAGCATCCCTGGTATCCATCCATGTTCATCTGCTTAGTGGTGACAATGCTTGTCTCTGTAAGAACATGAAATTAAGACAGGAGGAAATGGGGAAGGAGGGGGCAGAATCTCTTCCAGCTGTGATAGGTCACTAATGGACTACAGGTCCCATCTGTGGTGATGGAGAGGCAAGATGAAGAGCTTGGGGTTTTTGGGAAAGAAAGGAGCAACCTCAGTGGTTTGCTAGCTGTTTTGCAGTCCAATTTTCTTCTAAGTCCTTTTTTTCCAGCCTCCTGGCAAGAAGAGTTGTAGGCAAGAAGAGTATCTCCTTGGTCCTCTCTGTAACAGCACACTGTACAGCATTCTGTGGTCCTGTTTGCAAGACCCCAAGGGAAGAACTCCACAAAATCATTCAAAGCATTTGCTGCAGCCTGAATGCTTTCATGGCTTGGACTTGGTGAGCTTTCTTCTTCACCGAATCTTAGTTTAATAGCTCACATACTTTGAAAGCAGCTGAAGTTGTGAGCAGGGAATGGAAATGCAAAATTGTAGCTCAGTTATGAGGCTTCATTCTGGAACAGGAAAACCCTGAAATGGGAGAAGAGGCCCACTAGAGGGAAGGGAAGGAAAGAAAGAGTATTTTCAGTACCTAAGTTTCCAGATTTTTTAAGTGAGCGTGCATAACCTCCTGTTGCAACATTCCTGGTTCTGATTTCATCAGCTGTCACATCAAATCAGTTTGCCTGGATGGGAGACATTAAAGCAGTACGGCCTTCGTTAGATGCAGCTGACTGCTTCACGTTGGGATGATGTAGTAGCAGAAGGATAAGAGGGGTTCCTAAAGTTGATTTCTTCTCTAAACTCTTTTCCTCCCATTGCTGTGGTGAGATACGGTTTTACCAGATGATGTTAGGTGG